AAGGTACGAGACCTGTACGCAATCTAACCATTTTTTTAACGTCCAGAATAAGTCCTAAACGACGACATGATGGGCACTTTGAATTATAAGAGTCTACCTAGTGATAGTCGCCTCTTTTCCTGCCACGACATTCAGCTGAACTTCACAGCAGTCGCGAGTTTCCATCGCGTTTGTACTGGTTCGATTTACGCAATATTGAGTCACACACACACACTGTTGAGCAGGCGCACAAAAATAGCATCCGGCACATGCGTTACTAATTCACGAGGCGATTTTTTTCACAAATAAATAACGAGCACACACACCATTGCCAATTATGCCGTACGACGCTTGATTAGCAAAGCGCAAGTCTCCTATAGGACAGCCAATGAGGATGGGCGGTAAGAAATTGCACTCCTCGAGTGAGGTGTCCGACAGAAGGCTTTAAAATGTCGGCATCTCCTTTGTGTGTGAGAAGTGTCTCTGAAAAATAGCTGGCTTTAGACTATGGATAGCGGCAACCTGAAAAAGGGAAGGTCAACTGACGGCGCAAAATGAGTATTCGCAAGCATAAAGTACAGTGAACGCGTACGCCGTCCTTAGACGACTAACTGGGCGAAACTGACTGAGATGCGAGTCCAAAAGGTGGCATAGTTTGCGATAGCAAGGTCACTCACGGGCATATAGAAGAGCCAGTTACTGCCCTCTCGTTTATAGCAAAAGATAGATCTTGCAACCCTCAGATGTGTTAATAGCGGCTATCCCGCTGTGGCTAATGGACTTCGACCTGAATATTCATACATACAATTTCAGTCAGCACATCTAGACCTTAGTATAAACCGATGTACCGTAAGTACTCAATTACTTTCTGAGGAAATTAAAAAGCGACAATAGATATGATTTTCAGATAACAGAATCGGCCTACTGATAGAAACCTTGATATTATGCGCTTCCGGAGCACGAGGCGGACACTCGTTTTACCGTGAATATTTACTTTAAATTGCGAACAAAACTGAACAGACGCGGGGGGAGGGAGCCTTTACAGGAAGCCCGTGTTGCGGCTAGGTGAAATCAGGTCTTTTTACAGCTGGCTGACAGAAACTATAAATAGTTGCAAATTTGCTGCAAATAAGCACGCCGATTCCAGGCGCTGGTGGTGTTCGGCTTTAAATTACATTCAAAATCTCTGTTAACCAATCATTCTCCAACCTGAAAAACAAAGATGGTGAGGCCAGACGACAAGCATCCCTCAACTCGTCCAGCTCCCAACTGAAGCACTTATTTAGACGGCCACGAAATTGGGCTCGAAAGTGCGGGTAAATACACTCGGCTAGCTTTCGTTCGTGTATGCGCGAGCTGAGCTTTCGTCGGGTCTTACCTGCTAAGTAAGGAGGGTAGTTTAGGAATGTGATAACACACATTAAGTCAAATGACACACCAGGGTCAAAACGATCCTTAATCTATGTGATCTGGCTCACATGATTCCCATTCGCGATCAAAAAAATACGCTCGGTGGACTCCAGAAAGTCTTACGTATGCGGCAGCGTAGGACATATTGTCGGTTGGGCTTCTGTTTGGATCAGCCAGGGACGCATATGCAGGCACCGTTTTGGAGAGCGCTCTCACACGGCGACATTCGTGTCACCGGGTGGTTGCAGCGAGTGCACCTACGATGGGCCTTGCAAGAATTCCACTGGACTACCACGGAGGACAGATCAGGTTACGGCACACGTTATTTGACTACGCACATCTAATAAGTGCCATACATGCGGTTGTGGCTGCCCGCCTTGGTGCGGAATCACGCTGCGTCAAATTCCGACATTCTTTGGCTGACTGGCTCGGATAGTAGAGTGATAACTGGGAGAGGGAATAGAAGGAGCTCGACTCTGAGAACTGCGTTCCCACGGCGCACAGCGCGTATTCCTCACTAAGAACAATCTGACGCGCTACCACGGAGTCGGGCTGCGATTGCTCCTTCTCAATATGGCCTCCTCTATGACACTCCTACTCATCTGGGATCTGAGCTGTCCCTGCCCCGGTCCACGTGCTCTGGCCGGGGGTGTAGTGGCACGATAAGGCGCGATTTCACACTGCGCTTGGTACCGTCTCCGGCCTACATGACTCTATCGTGACACCGAGTCCAGAAGGGAGAGGAGGAAGTGCGATAGACGCTGCGCAATTCTGCTATCACTATAAACTAGCTCAGTCGGAATTCGCTGTTGTGGGACACACGACAGACATTGTCGGTAATGACAGTCGAACTGTTGGTCGCATCGACATCTTAGAATCTATATGGTGTGGTGTTTTTCCGTAAGTCGTTGTCTCAACCGCGTCGTTAGGGGTCCGTATGACGAGTCCACCGAGGTGGAGGATTACCGCTTCTCTTCCTTCTTCACCACGAAGTCTTATATCGGAGAATATTTCTTTGAGCAAATTATTCAAATGCTGAAGCATGCTTTTCCTGACGATAGCAGGAGTATGGCGCCAGATAAACGGATCACGCTAGCTGAGGACAATTTTTTCTAACCATTTTATGACCAGTTCTGCTTCTAAGACGGAGGACTGGGTGCTCGTTGTAGTGTTCTTGGCCTGCTTACAATAAAAATCCCGAAAGTCATATGAGGCACTCAGACTCGAGCGGACTCCGCGGGTTTTTGCCTGCATCACCAAAGTTTGTTTATGCAAAACGAGGTGGATACGAACAACGACGTCATACCGGCAGAGACCGTAACTCCGTCGAAGGACCAGGCGTCTCCGCAGTCTATGGAAAAGTCGGGCAACAAGGTAGATTGTGCGGACTGTGTGGTGTGCTGCATGAGCAAACAACCCCTCTTCCCTATGCCAAAGTGTCTGGACACCAAATATACCCCACGAAATCATCGACAGCTGACAAGAAAGGGGAAAGCTGGTGATAGTTCTGAGATAGTTCTGCATGTGGACAGTACGGGACAGTAATATAGATCGTCGAGAGAGTTTGCATCGCTAAACAAAGCGGTGTCACCCGCCCTTTGGGGGACGAAAATCCTGGCCAAGCCTTGCCTCTTACACCTGCGAATTACACTCCTGGGGGCAAACACACGTCACGCCAATTGCAAACTTTGTGAGCAGTTTCCGCGCTCTCACGCACGTCCTATCCTTCTTACCCATACCTAGATACAATCAAGACCTTTAGCCTCGGTTTGTACGCGTTCCTTATGAACTAACCAGTTTACATCTCCGTTCATCGTCAAAATTACCGCCCGCCAGTCATTCCAACTTGCGTGGTTTACTTGCATGTTGGATCTGGCTAAGTTCTCTTGCAGTAACTTGGACGGCAACTCCGGTGGGAAGCAGAGAGACCAGGTCCCTTGGACACTTAAGTCCCGGCTGGGCTTACACAAGCACATTTTCAGGACACCGGCAACGCCGTCGACCCCACGGCAGCAAGAATGCACACAGCAGAGAGCTCGACTGCTAATTGGTGCATTTTCGCATGCGCCCGTAGCAGTGCGCTATGACCAGGCAGTCTGAGCGAACGCACAACAACGATGCGCCCATGGCCAGCGACAAGCCAGTGATAGGCCGCATCAACAGGGCGTAGCAGGTTTAGATAAGCACAACACACGCTACTCCCTGGCAGTTAACCACACGGCAACAAGTTGAGCGTCGATTTTGATTATGTCCACCGTGTGAGAAGACGGACGGTGACTTGCGCGTGAACTAGCTTATAGTGATAGTAGACATGCACAGCATCTAACGCACACTCTCTTTCACCCCCCCACCTAGACAGAGTGTCATGGCCAAGTCGAGAGGACCGAAGGCGCGAGAGGCCGCAGGTGGCTGGCGCGGCTGGAGCCGCCCCTAGGCGTCCCCCCACACCCGGCCCTGATCCCATGATGTGGGAGTCTCATGGAAACCACATTAAGAAGGAGCCATTGCAGCCTGACCCTCAGTCCGCACAAACACACAACACCGGGCTGACTGCGAGGTCCCAGATTTTCCTGTCAATCAACAACTTTCCCAGTTACGGCTTTTAGTGCACCGTGATAGCTTCTAGCGCGTCAGATTGTTTATATTGAAAAAAAAATCGCTGAAACATCGACCTCAATTTCTATTCCCAGGCCCCAACCATTAGCAGAGCCGGTGATTTGGGTAATGGGCGCAGTGGCCGACATAGCTTGCGCTTGCCAAAACACAAGCGCCGGGATTTCACACTGGTGGAGCTGGGCGGCATAGATCTCACATGCGTGAGAGGTCACGTGAAGAAGGAGCCACCGTAGCCGGAATTTCAGTTCCCCAGTCCGCTACTCCAGATAAATCCACATTGTACTGACTGAGAGGCCTGAGTCCCATCATTAGTTGGCAACCCTTCAAACCACGACGCTTAGCGCATTGTGATAGTTACAAGCTCGGATCACACATGCAACAGAGTCACATGGAGAAGGAGCCTAAAAACACGCTCCCCACTGACGTGAGAGATGCCAATTACGTCCATGCGTGGTGTGTGTTGGTCAGGGTAGATGTGATAGCATAGTATAGTCGGCGGTGTTCTGATACAGGTTTTCATGGAGGCACACGTGGTCTGATAGGCCGATGTGGCGAGTGAACATGCGTGGACAGAGTGGGCTGCCGGGGAGGGCGCATGTTGGTGTTCCTGGCACCATTTCGCCCGTCTCTGTGCCATGGATTCTCAGGTGACCGATCAGGCGGATGCGTGATGTACATATGCGGTGGCAGTGGGGGCAGAACAGGTTCAAGGCTGTAGAATCGGTTGGGGTGGTGGCTTTTAAACCGTGGTCGTGTTGGTGAATGGGGAATCTTTACTGCTGGATATGGGAAAGTTGCCAGGGTGTGGTGGGCGTATTTGGAGTGTCGGTATTGCGATGAACTCCGCCATCGTGGGTGCGCATAATACCGAATAGGCCCATGCGGAGGGTGAATGTGTATGCATTGTGGACAGTGGAGGCAAGTTTGGCGAGTGTATGCCGAGGCTCAGGGTACTGGCACAATTGTCGCTGTGCAATGGATTCGCAAATGACCGATCAGGTCGATATGGGAGTTGAAGGTGGGATCGCAATGAGAACAGGTTGGGACCGAGTCCACATTGCTGGAGGTGAGGTGTTGGTGGTGAGGGTAGCAGATAATGGGACGTCGGTGAGGGGAATGCGAGATATCGTGGTGTTGGCGGAGCTTGTCGCCGTGGTCGACGCAGGGTTTGAGGCGGGGCGGAGGATGTCGGTGATGTATAGCAGCAGGGCAGCAATATTGTGATTGTCGGTGACAAAATGGTCTTCGTCGCGGAGTTTTTTTCCAGGTGTGCGAATAGAAGAAGAAATTGACGTTGCCAGATCGTTGGTGTATTGCGTCCGAAGGCGTTTTCGAGGTTGATTCGCGAGAGGAATGTGCGCTGGCAGAGTGGGCCTGAGGGAAACAGTTGGTTGCTTGTGTTGTCGATTTAAGGTGCTTGCGACTTGCGGGTATCCCTTATGATTCTGGCGCAGCGATCAGGTTTGCTTCGTAGATTGCCGCGTCAGTATTCACTACTCTTCTCCAGGTCGGTCTATTCTGGGCGAGTTCCTCCCAGGTCTCCGGGTTGGTCTGCAGTTGTTTCAAAGGATTTTTCGAAGTGTCCTTGTAGCGCCTTTTTTGTCTTCCTTGTAGACGAGCACCCGTGGCGACATCACTCTAGAAGAGCCGTTTGGGTTATCGTCCATCCTCACGAGATGGCCTCTCCGTCGCAGTTACAATTGTCTCAGCAATTCGCAGATGCTGAGAATTCCTATCCGCGTCAGCACTTCCGCATCCAGGATCCCGTGCTGCTATCTCCGCTTTAGTATTTTGAGGAGGTATTTGAGATGGAAGTGATTGAACTTCTTGGTATGGCTGGAGTAGATGATCCAGGTCTCTGCTCCGTATAGAAGTGTCGTTAAGACGGCGACTCTGTGATTCCACACGGATTTCCACTGTCATTTAAAGTCCTGGTTGACTTTAAAGATCTGGTGGACCACTTCGTCGTCGATTCTGATGCAGTGTGACACTGTGCTGCCTAGATAGTTGAAGTTCCCCACGTTGTCCATTTCAGTGCCGTTGGCGTGGATGCCCCAGACACTGTACTCTGCATTCGGTGTCTGTTGAGGCATGACCACTGTCTTTTCCATGTTGATGATCAGTCCGAAATGGAAGCGGGCGGAGGTGAATATGTCCATGCTGATTTACATACATGTCTCCCTATCGCAGTTGCGTTGATAGTGCAATCGTTGGCGAAGAAAAGTTTGTGGACGGTAGTTGTGGTTACACGCGGCTAAAAGTGCATCCGCCAACGATTGAGAAGTTGGCTGTTCATCCTGTAGGTGGCGCGGATCCCGGGACGTTCGTTATGGTAGGCGTCCACTAGCACGATAAAGAACATGGTAATAAGTATAGAAGGTATTCTTTGTGTGCCACAGATGCTTGGGTACCTTCACCTGATCCTTACCACTCCATTGGTCACTGTGAATGCCTCTGTCCGTGACGCACGCCATCATGCCATCAAGGAGCTGACGACCCATCTGAGTGAATCGCTCTGGACAGCCGAATTTCTGCATGATTTTCCGAAGCCCTTCGCGATTCGCCGTGTCAAGGGCTTCCGTCAGCTCCCCGAAGGCACCGCAAAGATGTATCCTATTCTCCTGATATTTTGTACTGCAGATGGCAAAGAATGGAGATCATGCCGGTGGTAATGCGATGATGGCGGAAGCCGCATTGGCTTTCCGGCAGGAGTTCCTGTTCCAGATGGCTGTTGGGGCAATTGAAGTGAACGCGAACGAAGATTTTTCCGATGATGTTGAGCAGCGAGATTCCTCTGTGGTTGTCCGAGAGTTGGCGGTTCCCTTTTTGCTTCTAGAGATAGACGACTGTGGCGTCTATAAAATTCTGAGGGAATAGTCCTCGGCGCCACATGTCCTGGAAGAGCGCTGTGCGGTGAGTAGTAATTTGGGGGCCGTCGTGCTTGTAGATCTCAGTAGGGATCACATCTGTCCCGTAGGCTTTCCAGCTGGAGAGTTGTTGCATGGCCCTGATGGTTTCGTGGAAAGGGGTGGGAGGTCGGGGGCGGCATACATCGCCACTTAAAGCAATCGGTCGATGGTGGAGGGGCGGTTGAGGACGCTCCTGAAGTGCTCTGCCCAGCACGTCAGGATTTGCGCCTTCTCAATGGGAAGAGTAGTTCTGTCGGCGATGAAATGAGAAGCGGTCCTTTTGGCTGTAGGGTCGTAGACAGTCCTGGTCGCCGCAAAGAAGTCCTTCCATCCGTTGCGGGCGGCGTACCCTTGGATATCCTCGGCTTTGTGAGCCATCTAGGCGTCCCGCTGTTACACAAGGTAGAGACTTCGGTAGAAAGTTGCTTTGTTTGCGTCGGTAGGGTGGTTAACGTAGACTTTGTGCAACCGGCTCTTCTCGGCGAGCAGACTGCTGATGGCGGTGTCGTTGTCGTCGAACCAATTCTGGTGCTGATGACGTGCGCGGCCGAGGACATCCAGGACGGTTGACTGGACTGTGTCCCACAGCTGACACTCCCGGTTCTCCACGGAGGCGTTCTTGTCGGCGGCGACTGGAAGGTTGGCTAACCGATGAGCCATCTCGTTGAAATGAAGATGGTGAGCATGCAGAGACAACAAAACAGTATTCAACTTACCTGGTGATCGCTTACTCTGAGGTCTCCTGTGTAATTGTAGGCGGATCCTCATCTTGGAGATCACGAGGCGATGGTCGGTCCACCCGTCAGCACCCGAAATCCCCTTTGTCACCATTACGTCCTGCTGGTCTCGCCGCCGAACTAAGACATAGTCCAACAGGTGCCAACGTCGCGACCGAGGGTGCATCCAGGTGGCCTTCTCTCACGTTGGAAGGTGGGAAAAGGTGTTGGTTAGGATGAGACGATGTTCTGCGGAGGTTCATAGGAGCAGGTCATTGTCATTGGAGCCGTCGAGACCATGGGGACCCAGCACTCCTCTCTAGGCAACATGCTCTGTCGACGCCGGCACAGTCGTCCTCGTAGAATTTTTTATTTGTCACGTCAGCGTTGGTCGTTGGGGGAGCGTAGACGCTGACGATGGTAGTGAATTCGCTTCCCTGGAGAGGCAGGCAGACGTTCATCAAGCGAGTGTTTATGCCCTGCGGCAGACAGGGCAGCCTCCCCACGAGGTCGTTCCGGATGGCAAAGACGACACCCACGTCCCGTCGCACTGCCTTGGGACGACCACTCCAGAAGAAGGCGAAGTCGGCACCCACCTCCTCCAGTTGGCCTTGTTCGGAGAACCGGGTCTCGCTGAGTACGACGATGACCACCTTGTAGCGCGCCAGTTCCCGAGCCACTTGTGCCGTCCTCCGTGCCGGTTAGTTGCTTCTGGGATTTTTTAAAGGGAGACGAGCCTTCCACGTTGCCAGAGTGATCGGACACCCTACCAGTCTGTGGGGGTGAGTGGAGGGGAGGAGGAGAGGGAAGAGGTTGTTGTTTCTTGTTTGATTGTTACGACCGCTGCCATTTCAGTCTGCAAGCCACAGTCTGTGCGTAAATGTCGTGAACCCAGCATTTGTTTAGGTCACCTTTTATAGCTCCCTCCACTCCTGGTGATAAGGAGTGCTCTTTCTTACCAAGGCTCTGTAGTCGTCTCAAACGGCTACTGAACTCAACTATGGGTCACGTATTATTTTAATGAGACAAAGACCTGATCGGCCTGGGTCGCCTACGTGATTGCATGTCGTCCTCGCCGTAGGACTTTCAGACCGTGGGGGAGGAGAGTGGAGGAGAGGGGAACAGAGTTGCCGGGTGTGGGTATATACCCAGATACCCTCACCTGGTCGAGGCGGTTACCGGGGCCGGTTACCGGGTTACCTGGTGGTCCCTGGCAAGAGCCTAGCTTCCAGGAGTCACACGTGGAAGTTGGATGCCAGTTGATGGACACTAGTCGTAGTCAACACCTGCAAGCAAGTGAGTGGCTTACTACGACAATCACGTGGACCCACAACTGGGCACGCCTACACCCTTTTCTTGGTGTAAAATCCTGGTCATTGTACTTTGTGCGTCAGAGGGTGTAGTTGTACGCATAAGCGCGGGTCTTTACCGTGACTGCCGCTTGCGTCTTCTCCCGCCTCCAGTCTTCCTGACTTTTTCTTGACATCGGATCAAGGTGAGAGAGGTGGGGTAGGCGCGAGGGATGCATCGCAAGTCTACTATCACCACAAATTAACTCACGCGCAAGTCACGGTCTCTGCCCTCACCCCACTGTGGAGCACACAGATGGACATCGTCGGTAACGACGGTCGAATATCCGTCTGCGTGTATGTTCCCATCCCATTATCCCCCTCCTCCCCATCGGTCAGCGCTCCACTCCTCCCTTCCTATGGAGGGGGCGACATGCAATGCCGTAGGCGGTTCAGGCTGACTCGCGTCGTTCTCCCCAAAACAGAGCCGGCACCGATAGGGGAGATGGACTGTCGTCTGGGATGTCTACGCAGTGTTGTGTAGGGATGGCACTACGTGCCACTGGTGTAGAAGGGGTTATAAAAAATTCCCTAAACAAACGCTGGGGAATCACGCCGCCTAATAGTAATGGTACGTTGATGCAAAACTCGCGGTCAAAACGCTCAAAGAACCAACAGCAACCCCTGTCCACAGGACCCCTCCGAACCTTGCGGACTGCAAGAGGGAGTCCGCCCATTCCGGCAGTCCGAAATGTTCGTTCCCTTTTAGACAATCTGAGGAGCAGTTGACCGGCACGGAGGACAGCGTTAGTGGCTCAAGAACTAGCACTCTACAAGGTGGACATCGCTGCTATCAGCGAGACCCGATTCTCCGAACAAGGCCATCTGGAGGAGGTGGGTGCCGGCTGCACCTTCTTCTGGAGTGGTCGTACCAAGGCAGAGCGACGGGATTCAGGTGTCGCCTTTGCCATCCGGAACGACATCGAGAGGAAGCTGTCCTGTCTGCCGCATGGCGCTAAACGACTGCCTCGTAAGCTTGTGTCTGCCTCTTCGGGGAGCCATATTTGCCGCAATCGCCCGCCAATGACCGGCTGCGACAAGTTGAAGCACAAGTTCAACGAGAACCTGAACTCCCTCCCGGCAACTGTACCGAAGTCAGACATGCTGGCCGTCCTTGGTGACTTCTACGCCCGCGTCAGGCCAAGCTGAGCTGCCTAGAGCGGAGTGCTGGGTACCCACGGAATCGGCGGCTGTACCAACAATGGTCTCCTTCTCCTGCGAACCTGCGCATAACACCGTCTCCTGCTGACCAACAGCTTCCACCTTCCGACGCTGGAGGCGAACTCGGTGCATCCCTAGTCGTGGCGCTGGTAGCTACCGGACTACGTTCTCATCCAGAGGAGAGATTGACAGGATGCGCTGATGACCAAAACAATCTGTGACGCCGATGGCTGGACGAATCATCGTCTCGTCATCTCCAAGATGAGGATCCAACTGTGACCCCGCCCGAGATCACAAGGTGAACGACCCCGTGATAAGGTAAATACTACTCTGTTGAACTTGTCTGCTCACCACCTACATTTCAGCAACTAACTAACCCAGCACCTTGAAGAGTTGTCGGCCCCGGACGACAAAGCCACCATGAAGACTCGGTGGTATCAATGGCGGAGCGCCGTCCAATCTACTGCCTTGGACATCCACGGATGCACACGTTGTCAACATCAGGGTTGACTCGACGACGACGCAGCCACCAACGACCTGCTCGCCGAGAAGTACAGGCTGCATAGAGCCTACATTGGCCGCCCGACCGATGCAAACAAAGCGGCCTTCTATCAGTGGCGCCGCCTTGCTGAACAACGGTTGCGAGAAATGCAGGGCGCCAGGATAACTCGCAGGACTGAGGTTATCCAGAGGCACGCAGACCGCAATGAATCGAAGAACTTCTTCGCCGCTATCGAGGCTATCTAGGGTCCTACAGTTAAAGGAGTCGCGCCGCTTCTCGGCTCCGATGATACATTACTGACGGAGAAATCGCGCGTTCTGAAGCATCAGGCCGAGCACTCCAGAATCGTCCTCAACCGTCCATCCACAGTCTCCTACGCCGTCATTAAACGACTTCCTCGAGTGAAAACGGACGAAGACCTTGATCTCGTGCCTTATCTGCCAGAAGAAATCAGAGGTGTATACGACCTATCCAGTGGGAAAGCATCGGGACCCGAGGCGACTCCGGCTGAAGACTACAAGCACAGCGGCCCCCGCCTCATGAAACAAATCATAACGCTATTCAACATGTGGCGTCGCGAACATGTTCTACGGGATTTCAAAGATACGACAATCGTCCATCTCTACAGGCGGAAGGGAAATCGGCAGATCTGCGATAACCACAGAGGGATCTCGCCGCTCAACATCGTTAGGAAAATCTCTGCATGCGTTCCCTCCAATCGTCCCAACAGCTATCTGGAACAGGGACTCCTGACGGAAAGCTAGTGGGGATTCCGACGCCAGTGCGGAGCAACTGGCATGATCTCCGCCGTACGTCAGCTGCAAGAGAAATCCAAAAAAATGCGGACCCAACTCTACACTACGTCCTTGGACTTGACTAGGGCTTTCGGTGCGGTGAATCGCGATAGACTGTGGAAAGTCATACGGAAATTCGGCTGTCCTGAACGATTCACGCACATCAGCTCCACGACGGGACTATGGAGCGCGTCATATACAACGGAAACGTCTCACTCGAATTTTCGGTAACCAACGGATTTAATCAGGGATGTATACTTGTTCCCACCCACTTTAGTCTCACGTTCTCTGCCATGCTGATGGTCGCTTGCCGCGATGAGCGCCATGGGATACGCATCGCCTGTAGGATCGACAGGCATTTTCTCAACAGCAGGCCCCAACGCGTCTCTCCACGAATACAGTCCGCGAGCTGCTCTTCGCGGATTACTGCGAAGTCAACACCGAAAGAGAAGCCGACATGCAACGGAGCATGGAATTTTTCGTCGCCAGATGCGCCAACTTCGGACTAACAATCAGCACGGATAAAACGGTGGCCATCCACCAGTCGTCATCTGACACGAAATGTAGTGCTCTTCGAATAATGTCGACGGCAACCAACTTAAAACCGTAGTCAACTTCGCTTACCAAGGAAGCACACTCACGCAAGACGAGAGTCGACGACGAGATTGCCCATAGCAATCTCCAAAGTCGGCAAGACCTTTAAACATCAGCAAGCCTTAATGGTGGACACTGGAACGGTACTCGAGGGGTCGCAGCGAGACGAAAAGGTAGGTACGGTTCCTGGGGGCAGCTGCGCACCAACCTGACAAATCGGCTGCCTACAAAATAATCAGAGGCCAATGTGATATAACGACATGACGAATCCTGTTCGTCGTCTAATAAGACCCCCCTCAGCCCACAATCGCCTTGCAGATTAGGGCCCATACACAGGTCGGACAGGACCGCGGATCTCACCCTTACCATGCCCTCACCTACTCCTCCCCGCCCCCATCTCCAGGAGCATTCGCGACCTACGCAATGGACTGTCGGGCCGAGAGAAGGAGCAGTAGTGCTGGTCGAAACTACAGCCAATCCCTGACCGCTGCGGATCTGACCACGGTGACATACCTACCGGGGTACTCTAGGCCAACTCAGTACT